TCATGGTTTCGAGGAAAACAGATCTCACACTGGTACTCCAAAAAACTTCAAGATTCTTTCGCAAATATCACGGCATCGCCGAAACTCTGACCAGAGTCCCCGGCCACAAACAGGCATGCTGCTATAAACAGTCACTTCCATGTTTGCCCAGAAAACCCCTCGAGCCTAAATGCTTCTTTTTAGTCATAAGAACTCAAAGTCTGCATCGACCTCGATGCACCTGTAATGGTTCCGGGTTCTTCACCGTTTGGTCTTCCGCATCGAAGGAGGCTGGGTGTTAGTCAGTCATATGACATAGGAAGACCTTGCTATAGTAAGGGGCTCCCCGAGCTTTTGGCTTGGTCTAACACTGGGTTGTTACAACTGCGGGTTGATAGCCCAACTGGGAGTCAAGTTCCCTTGGCTGTTACTTGTCTCTACTTTCTCGCTTGTTCCTCGTGACTTCGCTGTGAAATGATCAATTTACCATCGAAATAGAACTGCCGAAGCAATAGCGAATGAACTCGGTAATGAATACAAACTGTTCTTTCAAGCCCAAGTCAAAGACAAGGTAAAACTCCGTGTCAGAATGACGCTGTTTTGTAACCTGTCTGGACATATGAACACTTGAACGGTTTAAATCCAGACAAAGAGCGCGATACAGGCTGGACATGGGGACAGTCATAAACAACCACCGACCCCTTTGCGTGCTTTAGAAGTGATATAATAAACATGTAAGGACGTGGTTTGCAATCCTTTGTACGAAACCGCTGCTTGGTATATAGAACAGTGAAGAGTTACCCTACGCATCCGCAGTCATCTAGGAATGATAGGAATTGCGCTATTTCGCAGGTGGTTCTTTCGATCACTAAGTAACGCCAAATTGCAACTCGCATTTGATTGGGTTGGTTGCACATCCCGTTCTTGGTTATATTTAGCTGTAGTCAGGATGAAGCCTCAGCAAACCAAAGTCATTCAGGCAAGGTAGCTTCATTCGTTCATCAAAGAACCCAGCCTGGGTTAGACTCCAACATGAAGAGAAACTTCAATGAATCGAATCGATAGAGAAATATCAGTCAATGAAGTCAGTTGCGAATTGATCCGTATCTCCTGTGACTCGTGATATGATGTCCAACTCACCTACATCCGCCTCTGATGAATACCTTGGCTTAGAATGAAAATCGTTACCCAAATCACTACACGATAAAGGCACATGGGAACTATTCGGAACTGGAAAATCCTTTCTTTTACATACCGAGTCCTCCCGAGCCATCATTACTATCGTCGCCGGTGCCTACGACGATCTAATATAACCTTGATCATTATGATCAAGGGACAACGGGCAAACATTGCTGCCAAAGCCAATAAGACATTCAAAAAGCCGAGACCAAAGTCGAAGCCAAAGTCGCAGTCACGTAAGTAATCGATTGAACCCAAAAGACGATATTATGCTGACCAGAAGATTAATAACCGTCGAGGACCCCTAGAAGGGCCAAGTTTGCGACTATATCCGGAACACGTTGATAGCACTGCAAAGCGCCGTCTTCAATAAACGTAAAAATATCCCAGCTGAGGTGCAAGAGTTCTGCTATCGTGTCAGTATCCTACATACATGTGTGCTCGAGTTTGCCTTGGAGGTTGGCATCGAGAGACAAGATGGAGAATGTATGGACTGGCAATGGTAACCGAAGATCCCTGTTCACCTCGTTCGTACGGTCTATGAAGAGTCATGTTATCCTGAGGGAGCGGTCGCGAGGCCTTGGGATAGGTATGGGTGATTCTCAAATACCTTAGGGGATGCAATGTCATGATAGACCTCGCCATTACTCAATATGACCGCAACTTGAACTTATTGGTACTTGGGTATCCTTCAATTCGAGTTATGCATTCAGGAAAAATTCTGTCTGAGCTGAAGATTTAGTATTTTTAGTCTAGGTACAGACTCTTCTATACTGAGTTCAAAAGAAACTTCACTGCCCGGCAAAGAAGTGCAGACCAACTGCGCGGAACCTTTTCAGAGACGCCGGTAACACGCTTGGATTGATATCCGCAAAGCAAATGCATGGCTTACTTGGCTCATGCTTCAGTTTGACTCAGCATAGGAGAAAGTATGGTAGGTAGGTGTAGGTAGGCAGGTACATAGAACAACCACTAGATACTCTAACTTTCCATAGATGAGCTCTTTGCACTCTCTACGGTAGGTACTTACCAACAATGACCTTCGCCGACACGGTATCCAATAAATAAATCAAGGAAGGCAGTTAAATATCACCTTACTACCTACCTTATCATAAGTGTTGGGGCCTCCTTCTCTCATATAAACAATCTTATCAAAGCCAAACTTCTATTATCTTCCAACTCCTGGCTTCGATTCCATTCCAACACTCAAATGGACGAATCTTTATATATAAATTCTACCGTTACCTCTAGATATTCTATCTTTCAATCATGGAAGACGTAGGGCCAAGAACAGTCGTTGCAGCAGCCACGGCAGCAGACAGTCTTACGGTCCCTCCAAGTACCTATAACCACACGACTCTTCCAAGCAACACCTATTCTTCCGATCAATCTCGTGATCCGTCGCTCTCCAGCCGCCCTTCTTTGCCTTGGACCCCTTACTCTGACTCTTCAATTGGGCTAGACAAGGACTCGATCGATGATTATCATTCACGATTCTCGCATGTGCACACCCCGGAATCTTCCTATGGGACAAGGCCACCATCAGTCAACGAGGAAGCCATGCGCTATCATCGAAGACGACAGGGAAAGTTCAAGATCCCTGAAGAGAGGTTCAACCCAAGTGACCGCTACAGACGTTCTCATCGTGGACGCCGTGGTCGCCATGCTCACTCTAGCCATCGTCATCCGCAGCGCAACGAAAGGCGTAATAACACAAATACAGGGTGTCTACGGTCTACCAAGCATACCGAAACCCCAGCCGACATAGTCTTAGAACCTCAGCCAGAGAAAGCCAAGGTTGTGGGTGACAAGTTGACCAAGAAAACTGGGAACAGCGGCATGACGTGGCGGCGTATCAGTCAAGGCTTAGGAATCGGGAAATCTAAAAAGAAAGAACAATCAGAAGAACAGCCGCCTGTTGAAGCTGAGGATGTACCGAAGAAAAGGAGCAAGTGGAGGTTCTGGGCCAAGCAGCCACCTGGTGACGATGCCGAGGCTAGTGATGCTCCCAAGACGTCAGACCCTAACGAGGAACCTATGTTTTCGGTCACCTCAGATTCGAGACCAAGCTTACTGGAAGCGCATGAGGAAGCTCCTATTTCAGTTCACCTGCATACTGTAATGAGACGAGTATCCAAAGGCGAGTGATCAGGGGCATTCGCCGGGACAGAATTAGACCAATTTGGATAATCGAAGGATACAAGGGATCAGGACCTCTAGTTCTTTCTCCAGTATAATCATCTCTACCTAATAAACACGAGATACCAAGTTGCTATGTTGTGATCGTGGCAAGTGCCCCAGTGCGTATACAAGCAACGCAACGTAAGGTACTTAGGTTACAACTTAGTACCAAGTTCCTGTCCCTCTCAGGAAATCATGGCTTATCAGAAACATTGAAGTGTCTCGGAAAGTTAAGGCATAGTTATTGTATTTGACGCTAAAAAGTGTGAGACTTAAGCCGACCCGAGATCGATATAGACTTTCAACACCAACATGAGGTACCCCAAGGCACAGAACCAGCAGTAAGATAAGGTAAGTACCTATGGAGGCCAATTTGTTCTAGACCTCAGGCACTCAGCTCAAGTTAAAGAAGCTGATCTTTCCCCTCGTGAAAATACCAGCATGCACGTCATACCCAAACCGGTGCAAACCAGCCCCATTCAGCTGTATGTATAGAAGAGCCGCACAAACATCACGATCTGTTCTCCTCTGACCTTGGAAATCCGAGCATTATCGCACTGCACCCTTTACAACTGCTGTATGACGTCGGGGACGGCTCGAGGGATGATCCCCCACGAGAAGGGCTTGGTGGAAGACCGGTATGAAGCGGCTTTTGAAGGGTCTGGCCTGGAAAACGTGGGGAAGTATGTTTTGCATGTGGTTTGATGGTTAGTCTGGTGATTGATTGTACTGTGCTGATATGGGGTAAGGTAGCTTACCTAGTACCTAGGTATGGACTCTGCTCTACCGACATGGGTCTGGGCTATCTGCTGTTATTTGAGAGTGAATTATATGGTTCGATTTCTGTTTCATCTGGATAAGCTATCGATAAAGATAGGCAGACACTGCTCAAGGAGGTGATGATGACCTGCATTGTAAATGTCGTGATTGTTCACTCTCATAAACAAGATGTGCACATTTACAAGCGCACTCGCATCATCCCGTCCCGTCCCCCAGCCTTACAGGGTAAAATGAAACTGCCAAAATGGGGGAATCATTGTTAGTCAAAGCACTTGGTCATCCATTTCTAGCACACCTGGGGACATTACAATACAGTGCACTTGAGGGAACTAATTGTGTTTTGCTGCTACTGCACGGGCGCTTTGTCTCAGCACCTCAGCTGCATCGCCAATCAATCCTGGGCATCTAACACATTTTTGTAATTTATCAAACTAAAGTCTCATAACAAACCATGAGCTAGAAAAACAAATGAGACTCGCCTCAGTGGCACGACATCACAAATGAGGCAGTAAGAAACCAAACAGCCAAGCCAGATCAATCCATTAAACCAAAATCAAAAATCAAAATCAAAATCACAAACGAGGAGGTAGTTCCCAGTCACATGCCTCCTCATCTCGGCCGTTTGATGCACACTCCCCCACCTTCATTTGGGCGAGCCGAGAGAGGCTTGGATGGCGTCCAAGTACCAGTACATACCGTTCTTCCGTCGCTAGACGGCCAAAGTGGAGAAACTTGGATCTTCCCCCCGCGAGGCTCGTCCCGAACCCTCTCATCTCGTGGCCGCGGGCCCACCGTTAGAGCTTCAGGACCCGCCTGTTTGCGGGAACTATTCATTCGTGGTGGGGAAACTACAGTATGAAAAAGAATGGACAAGAATTACAATGGAATGGATGGTTCGTGCCATTCTCGTGACAATTCAGAGGCCATTTCTACTACTTGGTAGGTAGTTTCTCTCTATAAAGATCAACAACACCCCGAACCATCAAATATCACGCATACATAATACACCACGCAAATAATCATGATACTCGCCTCCGCTACTCAAAACTCCATACGCTAACCAGTCAAATAACCCTTATTATCTTCACCTTTTAACAAAACTTTAACCAATCTACATGCTCTTTCCATAATACCAGCCCAAGGGTATAAACATCCGGATACATTACCTCCTTTCTCAAAGTCCAATAACAACAAGAATGGGGTATATGACATCGCTTGCGCCAGAAACAATTCAAGAACCGCAAACATTAACAACACGCTGAAAGAAGAAGAAAGAAAAGAAGAAGAAGAAGAAGAAGAAGAAGAAGAAGAAGAAGAAGAAGAAGAAGAAGAAGAAGAAGAAGAAGAAGAAGAAGAAGAAGAAGAAGAAGAAGAAGAAGAAGAAGAAGAAGAAGAAGAAGAAGAAGAAGAAGAAGAAGAAGAAGAAGAAGAAGAAGAAGAAGAAGAAGAAGAAGAAGAAGAAGAAGAAGAAGAAGAAGAAGAAGAAGAAGAAGAAGAAGAAGAAGAAGAAGAAGAAGAAGAAGAAGAAGAAGAAGAAGAAGAAGAAGAAGAAGAAGAAGAAGAAGAAGAAGAAGAAGAAGAAGAAGAAGAAGAAGAAGAAGAAGAAGAAGAAGAAGAAGAAGAAGAAGAAGAAGAAGAAGAAGAAGAAGAAGAAGAAGAAGAAGAAGAAGAAGAAGAAGAAGAAGAAGAAGAAGAAGAAGAAGAAGAAGAAGAAGAAGAAGAAGAAGAAGAAGAAGAAGAAGAAGAAGAAGAAGAAGAAGAAGAAGAAGAAGAAGAAGAAGAAGAAGAAGAAGAAGAAGAAGAAGAAGAAGAAGAAGAAGAAGAAGAAGAAGAAGAAGAAGAAGAAGAAGAAGAAAACAGACTGAAGAATACCGTGCTGACCTAGGTTTCTGCCTAGTCCTGTTTTGCACCAGACTGGAACTGGTCTGCTCAGATCTTAACCTGGAGATAAGCAGATGACCATCTTTGACCACCAAATGGAAGCCGAAACAGATTTTGACACAAATGAAAAAAGAAGGGAGAGAACGGAAGCAAAAGAACGGGCGGAACAGAAAGAAATATAACAGTGACCTCACAGCATTGGCATTCTCGTCACCAGGCAGAATGTGCGACACTGCTCGACGTCAATAGGCTCTGTCTACCGCCCGACACGCCTGGGGTATAGGTCACTGCCCTTGAGAGCTGGTTCGTTCCAATTCTTGAGCCGTCATTCGAGTGTTCGCTTGTTACAAGCTGCGTCATGTCTTCTGGTAGTTCTGCACCCTCGTCGTTCCACCAATAGTGCAGTACATCACTCTGCCAGCGATCAAGATCACGGATCTTGAGTCCCCGACTCTTGGTGAAGGTTGTATGGAGAAGCAGCGCATTCACTGACGACAGCCTAAGCTGGTGCAAAAGCCATCTATTAATAAAATCACCCTTGCCACCCTCTCCATGATCCAGCATTAGCCGATCGATGGAATACTCTTTGGATGCAAGCTGCATGCGGCTTGGTTTCCCCGGGTCAGTCACCGGTAGGGCTGCTGCTGCCTTGAGTGCATCACGCGGTGTCAGGGGGAATTCGTCAGCCATAACGTGTTCAGGCTGGCTCAGAAGAACAGGGAATGTGGGATGTGCAAGATCTGTCCGGCTGCGCAGTATCACGGAGGCGTCATCGAGTTCTATGTCCTCATACCCATTTTCAGGATTGAGAAGATAAGCAACGCGTGACGACAAATGCTTTTGCATCACTCCCTTTTCCTCGCACAGCTTTCGGAGAGCAGTTGCTTGTCGCTGCAGGCTGGTGACACTGTTGCGCATTTCTTGCTCTTCCAGAGGGAACTCATCGAAGAATTCGATCTCAGCCTCGTTCAGCTCCATACCCGCGGCTGCCTTCATCTTTAATTCTCCCTCATGCTGCTCCTTGAGAAATAGTAGCTCGTCAAGCTCTTCCTTGGCGTTCTCAAGGTCACCGACTGCAGCCATGAGATCCAGATACATAGGATGCAGATCCTCGGATGGGCCATCTGGAGATATGCCCATTAGATCATTGGGAACATTCTTATCTTCCTCATGCTTTTTGTCGTCTTCTTCAGGAGGCTGCTCGAGAGGAACGGCTTGGCCAACCGCAAGCAAACTAAAGAATCGAATCTCTAGCCTGTTGAGGATTTCCTCTTCTTCATCCAAGGTGATCTCAAGATCTTCGTAATCGTTTTCATAGGCTTGGTATTCAGTTCTCAGCCGCTGCAGCTCTGCCAGATGTCGTTCCAGAGTGGCAGGTCCTGTTACTATCTGCCCTTGTTGAGCAATCAGCATGGGTCGAACGACACCCATGAATGTATTGTCTGCATCGTCCCTCTGTCTCCTCAACTCTCTTAATCTTTTTCGCTTCTTGGCCATTTGGCTCTTGATGTCGTTCAACTTGACCCGTTGATCTTTGAGTTTGACCCAGAGTAGCTCCAAAGTATCCTCAGCAGGGGCAGACCCTTTCGATCGATGACTTCTGCTACCCCTGGTGGTTTCCAAGACAGGATCGAGGCTGGTGCTCAATTCCAGGCGATCTTTCGGGGCGCGATCTCGCTCATATTCAGATATCCAGTTGGTTATACGAGTTGTCATAGAAGTCTTACGATTTCCTCCTTGTGGATTCAAATTGGAAGCTGTAGGATATAGAGGGGGAAACTGACGCGAGTTTCGGAGGACAAGAGAGTCCTCATCGGACAGAGAATCAGAGAAAGATACCTCATCATCAATTAACCGCGGGATTGTATGGTTTGAAGATTGAGATGTAGAAGTGGTATCCCGAAGTTCGGGCTGAGTTGATGCTTTTGGGGCCAAGTGGAATGCCAGATTACTCTTGTTTCGCGACTGGTGAGCGCTGTGTGGTGGTCCAAAGCTAACAAATCCTCTCGGTGGTCCCAAATTTGGTGTTTGAGTCTGAGCGGGTGCATCACCTGGAGAATTGGATACAGAACTAAAGGTCATTCGAGGTGGTGGCGTCGGCAATGTCTGCTGAGAGAGCCGCTGTGGAGGTGAAACCGTGTCAAGGTTATATGTGAATGGTGGGCGTAGATTTGTATTGGTGATGAAATTGCCAGGTGGTGGTTGAGGTGGAGGTGGAGGCGGCGGTAGATAGAACGAGGGGCGACTTGACGCGTGCGGGGATGACGGAGATGATACAGTTGGAGGTCGAAGATAGAATAGACGTGGCGGAGGAGGAGGAGGTGGTGGTGGTGGTGGTGGTGGTGGAATGTCAAGGCCAGGTTTCCATGGTGGAGGAGGATGAGAAGGCGGAGGCGGGCCCGACATGTCTATTACGCTGGCCTGAGTCGACGGTGCTTGATTGTTGGAAAACACCGTCTCGACTTCGGACATAGGGAAGCTTGTCGAGACATGAATCGGGGTTGATGGCGGTAGAGCATCGTGGATCGGATAATGCCCCTCGCCTTCAAGCTCGTGCTGGTAGCGGGAATTGCCATGGGTCCCAGGCACGGGAAGAGGCGAAGTCGAAGAATGAGGATATTGGTGATGCGAGTTTTGGTGGATTCGGGCGTAGCTCGAGTGGTTGTGGTTGTCGTACGCTACGGCCTCCATCGACGTACGTAAGATCAACAGAGCTAAGATAAAGAGACGAACTCATTAGAACTGGAGGCGGCCTGTCCATTTCTCTTCTCAGATAAACGGATGTGACGATCAATGCTTAGTCGATCGTTGAGGCTCTTTGCAATGACTGTCGACGAAAGGGAGAGGGAAAGGGAGTTGACAAGGAAATGAGAACAGCCAAAGCCAGCCAGGGATTTGATTTGCTTTTTCTTCATTTGGCGAGATAGCATAACTTGGGGCGGACGGCATAGCTCTCTGGCGGCTGATTTGCACGTTTGGAATGAGATTCGTGACACACAACAAGGTTCGGTTTCTAGGGGAAACATCCCGGCGTCCGGGGGGGCAGCGGCCACTAAAAGCTAGCGACAGTTAGCGCCTGAATGTGAGAAAAATGCATGTGGGAGCTTCTGATTTATGCATTGGCGATTACGCGACAAAGCAAGTCCAGGACTTGTCATCTCATGATCTGGACTGACCAAATAAGAACGTGACAGCAGAGCGAGGGAGGGGGAGCTATGAGTCTACACAGATTGTGCAGGAAATGCTGGGCCAGTGAGAGTGACCGTGTCAGACAATACTGGGCGGCTGTTAAGGAGTGGAGGTCCACTACGCGATGGACGGGTAGGTACCTATGCAGCCTGGTTTATCATATCCCGTGTAAACAAACGGTGGAGAGAAGAAGGTAAATAACTACCTATCCACGTCATTGGATCATAATAAAACGTTCAACGGACGGGAGCTTGTCAATTAAGTTACGCCTCATCTCATCGCAAGCTTGCTTCACTTGACTTGACTGAGCTTGCCTGGTCACCAGACTTTTGAGGCCAGCGCAGATTCCACTAATGGTGGATGCTCAAACGCACACTGTGCTCTCCCCGTCCACTTATCCCGTGTTAACTTACCTTGCTAGAGCCTCGTCGTTGTAACTCTACCTCGACACCAACAATGACACCCTGCAGACATTCCCGATGGACGCCTTCCAAAATCGCTCACTCCCCTCCAATTCACCCACTTTGGTCCAATACGCTCTCGGCTCTTTGCATATTGCCCATGTCTGTTCCGTCTTGGACTGTGTATTCGACGGAGAGGGGCGTGTCTTGCAGGTTATGTTCAGTGCCTATTCAACATGAAAAGCCCATATCATTCACTGCTCTCTGCCCTCTCGAGAGCCCGCAACTCGGCGTCTCAGCTGGTGTTATCTTGGACGGAACTGCACCTCCTTCAGGCCTTTACCTTATTTCCTCTTTAGTTGCCTGCTAAGGGTCTCGTCATGCGAGTTTGCAGCTCGACTCCTCCGAGAACCCCTCCATGAGTCCACCTCCTCCACTTGTTGCATCCATCCCCACTCGACTCGTTCTGTTACTCGCTGGCTGATGCGCGACATTAAAGAGATGCTGGACTGCATAGTCAGAAGCGACTGATAAGCTGCGGTTGCCGCTCAGTTGTCCACCCTCTGAGCCCTTCCGGTTTCTACCTCTTGTTTCCCGTACCGATCTATTCTTCAAAGGTCGACCGGAACTGGGAGATTCAGTTGTGACTCAAAGCTCCAGCTCCAGCTTACTGACATCAGGCTGCACGCCATTCCTTCAGGCAGTCCTGCAACTCCTGCAGCCAAAGCAGTTTTTCTGCTTTTCTTATTGCTGGTATTTGGTTGTCATCATCGCGTATCCTGCGGGCAGATGCTAGGCTTCCTGTTGTACCACCTCGACCAGCCCGCCTTCAACAACTGCCTCTGACTCCTAGTTCACCAGCAGCACCACCACAAGAGGCGCACGAGATACCCCTTTAGCATACTTTATGCAACTCTGAAGCAACAATCCTAGTTTTGGCGGCAGAATCTCACCTGCCTACCCCGACCTACATACGCCACAGGCATCAAATCCCTACAGGACACTGGTCAACCTCACACAGATACAGGAAGCCGGTATAGCGCTAGAGCAAAGACGAGACAGTCGTCTCAGCGGAATCTCTCGAGTACTTGCATCTACAACAATCAATCCAATTATCCCGATCTACGCCAACGCACCCCAAGGAACCCAACGAGAGCCCGGATCTTCGTCCTCGTGCGACCAAGCTGCAGCTCCCTTATCCAGTCTCCATCCCGAATCAAGAGCTGAGCCGCATTTTTTGGTTAGCCAGCTAACTTCTCGGTTTGCGGTTCCACTGTACTGCTCTTGCTTATTTCTACAAAAGCCCCCAACCCACCATCTCCCAGTTATTGGTACCGCTTTACTTCAGTTCGTTACGTTCTAAGCAACTAACAAGGCCTCGAGCTTTGGAGGCGAAAGAACTCATAGTTCTTTACATCAAACACTTCCTCTTTCCTAGTGGTGCAAAATATTTATGCATTCTTTGCACGTTTGACGCTTCGCGTATTAATTACTGCGGTATCATATATCCACATCAGTTTTCACACTTGGTGGGTGTATCAACTACATACCTGTCTTAACCTCCTCCGGGTTGATCATATTTATTTCAAGACCTGCAATCGATTTGTGGTATTGAGACGCTTTGCTTGCATGCGCAAAATGCTACTATGTATCAAACAAGCAGACCAGGATGGAGCGAGTGGTCTAGGTGGATATGGAATCCAGACTACCAGCAATATTATCGCCAAAGAGTAGACGCTGCCGGTGTGTATCTCTATATAATCTTCCCCTCTCTTCCAGACTTACTGACCAAAGTTGCATAGGCAACTCGGATATTCAATGGCAGAGCGAATATGAGTCTGCTCAGAATAGAGAGGTCCCCCGGACTCCTGTTCAAGTCCCTGCACAAGTTCAACAGATGGACCAGATGGACCAGGTGACCCAGCAGTTTGGTTCCGTCAACATACAGAGCCCTGAACAAGCGGCTGGAGACGAGCACGACAGTACGTTTTGACTTGTGTTGGTCCCCTGATTTTTCAGCACAAGCCCCTTGGCTCCTTTCCACCTCGTCAGCTCTATAATGTGCTAACGTGATGGATGGTCTAGATAATGAATATGTCACGGGCGGTTCATCGTCGAGAGTAAAGTCCAAATCATCGAGGTCGCATAGTAGTTCATCAAAGTCGAAATCGAAACCGTCCAAGTCCTCTAGTGGGAAAGGCAAGGCACCCGCCCAGGAAGCCATTGACGAGGTTGATGAACACGGCTATGAAAATCGTCATAGTCAACGGAGACCATCTGCATCTACAACCGCTCAACAAGCAGAACAGACCTGTAAGTAAGCGGAGAGTTGATGGCATCTTGGTGGGAAAGACTGCTAAACTAGCCAGATTACGACCCGAATACTGGCCAGTATTACATATTGCCACAAGCTACTCAAGGTATGCGAAATACTCTATTTCAATTTGAGTATTAGTATTGACAAAGGTCACTCAACCACAGGAGATCCTGCATCCAACCAGCCCTATCCAAGTGGCTCGGTCGAAGGGGAAGACCCAGAACTTCAGGCAGCCCTGGATCAGAGTCGACAGTATTCGCGAGATCAATATCGAGGTGGCGAGCCGTCATCTGCTGCATATGCCCCCTATGGTACGTGACTTAAAGGACAAGCTGTAATTTAATTTCGGGTTTCTAACATGCACAGCAGCTCAAGACGAGGAAGAGGATCCCGGGCCAGCTGTGGCCTCCACCAACCAGGAGCACATTGTAGGCACTGGGGGTGAAACAGAGACTCTAGATCCACGTATGATTATCTGCTCTATGTAGTGCAGGGCCAAACTAATTTGATGCTAGGGTATCGTGTTGCACAGTCTCATATGTTCCAACCCGGCGAGGTAAGCTGACCCCCCCCCCCCCCCCCCCCAAGACTCCAAAACTATGCTAATCGCCCAACAGGTCTTCAAAGTCCTCTGGCCAGAGCCAGCAGGAGGAGGCAGTGTTGTTGAAGAAACAGTCTATCGCGACCGGTACGGCGGTCAAATATTTGTTCATTTCCGTCGATTCATCGTAGTCGCAAACGATCGCGGCCACTGCACTTGCATGTAAGTGTCATGTCCCATCGGCTCTTGAGCCCGGAACCGTGCTAACATGCCAGACCTATCTCTACGTATGGTAAAAAGGGCTGTAAAAAGAGTGGCGTCAAGGCTGAACAACACGGAATTGTTGTTGAAAGCAGCAATCGAAACCCTACTGCCCTACCTGGCGAGCCAGAGCTTGGATATCCTCCTGTGCGTGTGCACATCCACGAGCCGGATGAGCGAATCGCAAAAGAGTCCCGAGTTAATTACTCAAAACTCACGACGGTAGAACATAACGTCAAAGTGCTCTTCATCGGTCGCGTGGTGACCTCAGATTGGGATACTGTCACCGAAGCGGTCAACGCTAGCTGGGCAAAGAAGACGCATGTAAAGAAGAAGCATCGCAGACCATGATCCTGCGAACAGCTCTAACATTCACGTTTTAAGGTGCCTGTGTAAGCAGGTCCCTACATCGGGTGTCATCAATGACATCTGCATATATACGTTCCTCAGGAGCAGCCAGCTTCTCTGGCATGCACCTGCGAAACTTGTCTCGGCAGCTTCGCAATCTCGAGACAGACACGGTATGGGTTAAGCTCAACTTTCCAGACATGCTGCCTGAAGTATCGTGGTAGCTTCTTGGCTGGAAACCGAACACCCTCGCAAGCGGCGCGCAGTTCACCAATGTGCGTCCACACAAGGTAGCCATTTTCTTCTTGTTCTTGGTTCGGACTTTTGCATTGTTTTTTCTTTCCTCTTAACGTCTTCAACCATTTGGAAAGTGTTTCTAAGTACTCTACTATGTTGGACAAGATCTTTTTATATAACTTGACAGCAAGATTTGGTGGAACAGCACACAACTCCGGATATGTTGATAAAGGTATTCCTGATATCTGATGAGTTTGGGTTTTTCTTTTTGTTTCATCCTTTCCGCAGTCCTTCTCTTCTTCAGTGTTGAGATAGTCTTACAGAGACTTTTCAATGGTTTTAATGAAAGACATGATCCATAAGGACTTCACTGTGTTTTACAATGCGTTGCAAATGCCTGGTGGGCATCACAATCATTTACGAGGCACTGTCCGGTTTTTTGGGAACGCTGAAGGGTGTCTCTTTGGTACGAGTCCGGTGCAAATATCAGAATGAATACATGAATTTATAGGAGCCTCCAAGGAAGGCTTCTGATTATATAAACATGAATGAATGAAGAGCCTCCTTGTGTGTAGAGGTTACCGAGATAGACCCACCCACCGGACGTCGTGCCTCGGCATCTTTTTCCCCGCAACCGGAGGCTTAATTAATGAACCCCGGACGTACCCCAGCGCAGACAAAACTCCGAGGCTCGACGCTCGTCACCAAGATCAAGGGGAGACATTGCTAATCAATTCTCTTTCCTATAAAAGATCCCTCCACTTCAATATTCTAGTGAAATATTTCTGCTTCAATCTCATTGTAAAAGTTCTTCTTATTCCATCACACCACTCAACCCCGTATACGTCACCCCTTCTACCCTTGTACTCACTATCCACTTCACTTTTCGCAACCACAAATACAAACACAGACACAATGGCTGAAGCCCAGTTGGAAGATTTCCCTTCGCTTTTCTCCCTGAAGGGCAAGGTCGCCGTTATCACCGGTGGCTCTCGCGGTCTGGGTCTGCACGCAGCTTCAGCGTAAGTAATTTATTGCAAAACATCTACAAACGCGACTGACATTGTCTCAGATTCCTCCAAGCAGGCGCATCAAAGGTCTTCATCTCATCCCGCAAGGCCGCTGCCTGTGAAGAAGCATGCAAAGCTCTCAATGCTCTCCCCAACCGTGCTCCCGGTGCTGTTGCCATCTCAGTTCCCGCGGACTCAGCCAAGTTCGAGGGCGTAGAGAGTCTTCTCGCGCAGGTCAAGAAGCACACTGACCGCGTCGATATTCTCTTCGCTAATGCTGGAGCTACATGGGGTGAGCAGTTTGACACCCATCCTGACTCTGCTTTTGCCAAGGTCATGGACCTCAACGTCAAGGCTGTTTTCAACACAATCCGTCTCTTTACACCACTCCTCGAGAAGAGCGCTTCTCTTCAGGATCCTAGCCGTGTGATTATCACTGCCAGTGTTGCAGGACTCGGTGTCGGCACGATTGGAAAACAGGGCACATACGGTTACTCCGCCAGCAAGGCTGCTGTGCTGCATCTGGGACGCAACATTGCCATGGAGCTGGGACCTAGGCACATCACCGTCAACTCCATCTGCCCTGGCTTCTTCCCTAGCAAGATGTCCAATGGTCTGCTGGAGATGTCTGGTGGTGCTGAGGAGATCGCAAACAGCAACCCCATGCGCCGACTGGGCAAGCCTGAGGATATTGCCGGTGTGGTTGTTTACCTCGCTAGTCGGGCAGGATCTCATGTTAATGGTGAGACAATTGCCATTGATGGTGGTGCCCTGTGGCAGCGAGGCGAGCTCATGGTCGAATCCAAGTCAAAGCTGTAGCGGCAGTGGATGCGAAATGTATGATAAAGAATGACCATTCATTTATGGGGACTTAACTAGAAGGCAAATGCCTCTTGATGTCTATTTATTTGTTTATTTTATCTGTGCCAGCCTTGATGTTATTGGTTGGCCTCATGAACTCACCTGCTCTAATGGCTTTCGAGCAATCCAAGTACTTGCTCTATATGTCGACTGCAAAAGACTGTCAGGATCATGAATATACGGTGCATGGACACCAGTCTCGTGCCGCTCAACAACAAATCCCATCTTCTCCAACAGTGCAATAACTTCGTCGTCAGCCAGCTCAAAACTTCCTGGGTCAGCGATGCCCGATGAACTCTTTGGGTCATGCTCCGCTTCCCCGTCTTGTCCATGAGTACCAGGCGCATTGTTCTCAAAATGCCACAATAAGGGCCCCACGTTGATGAGAACACCCCCAGGCCGAAGACAGTGCCGTATGACTTCCAGGTACCGAATCAGATTCGGTGCTGTGTCGAGGAAGAAGACACTTGCCACAGCATCGTACTGTGCTTCATGGTCTTCGTTAGAATAGAGGCAGAGAAAGTCGGCGGCGCACATGGACATTTCTCCAACATTAGGTGTGGCAGCTAGAACGGAGGCTGGATGGATGTCCGGAACGCGATAGCTTCTGAGGTGGTTCGCTCGGGTGAGGTGATTGGAGAAACTGTGAACCCAGGGGTAAATAGTATGGTGTTCGGCCGCAGGACAATAGTTTAGAATGTATGATGAGGCGAGGAGTTGATGATAGGAGATCTCGTTGCCTTCAGCGGTATATCCATTGGCAACCAGATCAAATACCAATCTTCCTAGACCTGCGCCTGGTACCAATACACTTAGAGGATATCTATCCGGATATCTCTCCTTTTCCGCCTCAAGAGCTTTCATGATGGGACCATAGCTAGCTTCTCTCTCTGCAGCTCCCGCCTCGGTCCAGTCTCTGTAGAACTGACGAATAGTACTCCTTGCTTTGTCAACATCAGAGTGCTTGGCGACGCCGGCCCATTCTTGAGGCATCTTGGGTTCAGGGTCTTCGGGTTCTGTCGTCATCATTCGAAATGACTGTAGGCCAACACGGGCAATGGTACGAGCCAGCTCCGCATTCTCATCGATTGCATCATCAGTCTTCTCAAGCGTGTCTAGGAAGTTGAACGGAGGTGCAGCCAAGAGTTTCCATTGTTCTTGAGGAAGAGCATAAAAGGCTTGACGACGGAGGTGTGTGACGTTGAAGTGAGATACTTTTGCGTATTGGCTGTTGAACGTTCAGTATGAGTAACAGTACCCTTGAGTCGGATTGTAGATAGGGTTGAACAGATACTGAAGGTCCTATAAGGTTTGCCAACAGAGCGAGAGGAGGATGATCCGACTCAAGTGAGTTTCTTGGGATAACTCACAAGAATGAATCCAAGGCGCTGAATATAACCCGAACCTCTTCAGGGTCTTCAGCATTGTCCTCTACTCCAGCCCATGCACTGTCGTCGGGGACAATTTCGATGTAGTGGCCATCTTCAGATCCGGCCATACCGTATGGCTTAGAAGTGGATTTTGATATGCTGCGTTTAAGTAAGGGTCATGGAGGGGTAGAGAGGATTTTTTGGTAATATAGCACAAGGGTCAAATTCTTTGGTTATTTCATAAGTCCTGCCCTTAGAAGTGATTTGGTGAGCTCGACAAGTAGCGAAAGAGTGCGAAAAAATTGATGAAAAGATCAGAATGGACTCATGCCGCTCACTTTCTACAAGGTACTAAGGTTGACAATGATTTATGCGGGCCTGCTCCGAATGAGTTTGCGTGGGGTTGAGGAGATCATGTGATTACGGATTTGAGCAAACCGACGACTTGAATAAAGCATCATCAAAGAGAAATAACATCTTGTTAGCTTACTACTTACCGTCTTATAGTTGTTCAGCTGTTAGTAAGTATAATCTAGGCATTGTTGTTTTGCTCGCAAATATAGTAACCTCTTCAGTTGCGTCAGACGCCCAGACGGATTTCTACTTCACCTAACAGCACACACCCACCAAAGCCTCTCACTCGCCGTCTTGGGATCAAGAGATTTCTGACACAACAAAAAAATAACGTGATACTTCCTCATAAGACACATCATGGCTACAGACGTAATCGAGCTCTCTGTACCCCTCCCCCGCTCTCTAGACACGCGCATCTACCTCCGCCTTTCCACCAAAGCAAAGTCCATTGTGATATTCCTCACAACCGCGACACAGGATGAGCTCGCCACTCCTGTCCGCATGGGTTCTTTTGTCTACGCTCTGCCCAACGTGAGTACGGCCCGTTTCTGTTCCGGTAATACTTTGCTGACCTTCATAGCGGCTTGACCAGGCACAGCCATTATCTACCACGCTCTATTCTTCAGAGGCATCAGTGGAGTTTACAACACGCTTGGCCAAGCTTTTAGCTCGGAAATCACAGCTCCCGGTGTACGTCACTAACTCGATTAGTTTTGCTAATGCGGGTATGGGAGGCACGGTGGAAGAGGAGATGGAGGCTTTCAAGACCATTGTTCAAGTTGTGTCAGAGAGGCTACAGCTATCGGGTCCCAAGCCAACGGCGGCCTGATAGGATAAGGATACCTTACCTGCAACCAGGTCAAGGAATACGAAGTTTCAAGACTTGAGAATGACAATCTTGGGGGAAGAAGAGCTACGGACTTGCATCACCCACCACCTTAGCCTCTCCGTCAATACCTGATATCTATCCTAGAAACTCTCACCGACAGAACCGGAACCACTCAGAACTATGGTGCACAGCTTCGTTCACGTCACCGAGTAACATAGCTGTCAAGAGAGTCCTGGGAGAATTACGGCATCGACCACAAACAATCCCGGATGAATCCGCAGTGGCACACAGAGGCAGACGGCTTGTAGCAAATGTTTGTCACCAGGCGGGATTGCGCGTGTAACATCATAAGACCCAATCCTTATTCTTGTGCTGGGGAGGCTTATTATCGTTGTGCCTTTTTAATAGATATTACACCGAAGAGAAACAATGAAGGGTCTGTGAGTACACGAGCTAACTATCTCGCCTCCATGACCACGGCTTCCATTACTTCAGGCCTTTGTATTCCTAAAGTGCTTCGACAAGGCGATCGGACCTCACCATGTTTCTCGGGCACAAACCAGTGGCAGACTGCTTTATTGCAATAGCGACTGGCCAGGAAATAGTGTCGCACAAGTAATACACGAGGTTCAGGCTGGTGCAACACCAAGCTGCGCGGCACTTACGACGAGACTGATCCCGCAGTGACGCTTTGGTGAAACTAGACTATACTCTGGATAGTTTATCGGTTCATATCCACGGGAGACTGCCTAGGCAAGAAACCAGCTGAACATGGATGTTGGTCTAGATATGTTATTTGAGTTTCTAGAGTTGCAAATATGGCCTGAGTTTGAACACTGTATTACGGGTTGCTCAAGGCCGTTAGAAGCTGTCTCAGGCAGGGCCGCGGCCCGTTGCAGCCGTTAATATGAATGGATGATTCAGAGACCATATCGATATTGTTGAAATGGTTGGATAACGGATTCATACAAGCGGCTACCTATTTCATCTCGTCGACTCTTCTAACCAGCCCCCGGGGTGCAAGAAGACTTCTGACGTTAAATTGAGTCGCTAAAAATACCCAGTCTAAGATCCTCTGGATCTATACTAAATTATGCTAGGTTTACCTAAGGCTTTTTGTCACTTAGGTCAGAGAAGTCCTAAGTTTTGTTGCATCCCCTTGCCAGCCACGCACGAGAGGAGATGAACGAACGATATATAAGATGACAACATTTCTTGCTTGCTAGCTTGCTCTAAAATAAAATAGAACCCAACAGTTTATTCTAGCTCCGGCGATCCCCGCAGCAAAGAAAAAGAGCCTGCTAGCCTGCCTTGCATCTTCTTCAGTGACAAATTTTCTCGGTTTCTGCGGACGGGTTATCGTTATCGCACCCCGCGCCACTAGAATCCCGGATTGGCACGGCCTTATTGGGTGTTTCAGGCTATTTTACAGTGCGTCTGATACGTGACATCTCGCCATCGCTAGTCTCAAAAGGGCAATTTCTTGGTTGAATGCCCTTGACCTTGAGCCTCCGCTCTCTCCTCGAAACTACAGTACCTACACCAAAATCTTCGTCCCCTACTCTTGGTGGGCAGCTGAGCTTCTTCAACTCTAACTCGAGAGATCTGCATCAACCTCTCTCCCTCGATTGTCTATTTCTTAGCAGCAGCGTCTGAAGACGCACAGCGTCCTTCCAATCCTTTTCTTTGATATTACCATCAGGACCGCGATAAGCAATCCCAAGGAACAAAGGCGAGGCTGCTAGGCGTCTCAGTAAGAAACCAGGTGAGTAGACTTGTGTTGACTTGAGCTTTGCAGTGTGGCCCCACGGTGTTGCACATCCCTGTATCGGAGGGGCACATTCGCTTCTCGCCCACTGCCATCCCATACGACGACGGACGGATACTCTATCCCACTACCTATACAAGGAAGAGTCCACCGCTGGTCTCTCGTCTCCCGTCTCCGTCTCCGTCTCTCCCCTCTCCCAGATTCCTTCATCATTGTCATCTCTATCTTGCCTTGGCTCAAGGTTTGCGCATTGCTAACTGTTGACGAGTAGGAGCTGTGGAGCTAAGCTCATGTGAAAGTCGTTCACAAAGTTTCCATCTCGCTTCTGCGCCCCTCTTCTCTACATCCGCCTTCTGCGACGTTCAGAGACGTTGTCAACACCACCGCAGCCATGTCCTCCTGGGAGCCCGCCCCCGATTCGCTGCAGCAGCTTGCTGCTTGCCTCAAAGACTCCCTCAGTGGTTTCGACAAGAGTGCTCAGAAGCAGGCTGACCTGGTAAGACTTTGCTTGTCCATCGCAATCCATGCGCCGCCCCTCAGCTAATCATTCTTTGCAGATGCTTCAGCAAGCCAAGAACTCCCCCGACATCAATAACTATCTCGCATATCTCTTCTCAAGCTCTTCACCTCCCAATGGCCTTCAATTTTCGGAGCAAGATTTCCACCTCGTGCGCTCCGCCGCTGGCATCATGCTCAAGAATAATGTCCGAAGCGAATGGAAGTCCATCCCCGAATCCAACCTCCAGCTCATCAAGCTCGCTGTCCCCATGTGCCTGCAAGACAAGAACTCGCAGATTCGCAACTTTGCTGGAAATATTGCTACCGAAATTGTTCGCCGTGGCGGGTTGCTCAGCTGGCCGGAGCTACTTCCTCAGCTTCTCGACTTGGTCGGTAACACATCCGGTCAAACTTCCAATGAGGCGCAGGAGGGTGCTATGTCTGCTCTAGCCAAGATTTGCGAGGACAACTTCCGTCAATTGACCAAGGAAGTCAATGGCCAGCGACCCCTCAACTATGTCCTTCCCCATTTTATCGCGGCCACCAAGAGCCCTCTGGCCAAGGTCAGGGCTGGTGCGCTTACTGCCATCAATGTCTTCACACCTCGAGAATCACAGGCCATGCTTAACTCCATCGATGACCTCCTCCAGCATCTTTTTATCCTGGCCAGCGATGACAATGTCGATGTTCGACGACAAGTGTGCCGTGCCTTTGTTCACCTAGTTGAGACGCGACCCGACAAGCTCCAGCCGCACATCAGTGGCCTCGTCGACTATATAATATCCCAGCAGAAAGGCGACGACGAGGACTTGGCCTGTGAAGCGGCCGAATTCTGGCTCGCCGTGGGAGAACATGACAATCTGTGGAGGGCATTGGAGCCGTACATCAATAAGATTATTCCGGTCCTTCTCGAGTGCATGGTTTACAGTGGAGAGGACATTGCCCTCCTTGGAGGTGCTTCAGATGACGAGGAGGAGGAGGATCGTGAAGAGGATATCCGCCCTGCATTTGCCAAGAAGGCCCTTGCACGAAAGGCCAACGGTGAGGTCAGCGAGTCCGCAGATCAAGCCAAGAATGGAAACGGCTTCGAGAAGCTCGGTGGAATGGACGACGATACCGAGGAGGGAGAAATCGATGACTACGACGACGGTGATGACGCCAACCCTGACGAGCGATGGACCATCCGCAAGTGCTCCGCCGCCGCTCTCGATGTTTTCGCCCGCGACTTCCAATCTCCTGTTTTCGAGGCCATCTTCCCCTATCTGTCACAGCATCTGAAGCACGACGAGTGGCCTCAGCGAGAAGCTGCTGTTCTCGCCTTGGGTGCCGTTGCTGACGGATGCATGGACGTTGTTGTCCCTCACTTGCCTGAGCTTGTGCCTTACCTCATCTCTCTTCTCGAGGACGAGGAGCCTGTTGTGAGACAGATCACCTGCTGGACCCTTGGTCGATATTCGTCATGGGCTGCCAATCTGGAGGATCTAGAAAAGGATCAGTTCTTTCTCCCTTTGATGGATGGTATCCTCCGCCACATGTTGGATAAGAACAAGAAAGTACAAGAAGCTGCTGCATCGGCATTCGCCAACCTCGAGGAGAAGGCAGGTAAGATCCTTGAACCTTACTGTGGTCCAATTATCCAGCAATTCGTCCATTGTTTTGCCAAGTACAAGGATCGCAACATGTACATTCTTTACGACTGCGTGCAGACTCTGGCGGAGCATATTGGACCTTCCATGGCCGCACCAGAACTGTCTGGCAAGCTGATGCCTGCCTTGATCGACCGATACCACCGTGTATCGGATCAGTCACGGGAGCTGTTCCCTCTGCTAGAGTGCCTCTCTTATGTGGCGATGGCACTCGGTGATGCGTTCGCTCCCTATGCTGAACCTATCTTCCTTCGATGCGTCAACATCATTCACGTCAATCTCGAGCAGACTTTGGCCGCTGCTGGCAACCCCATAGTTGACCAGCCTGACAAGGATTTCCTGGTAACTAGTCTGGATCTTCTTAGTGCAATCGTTCAAGCTCTCAACGACGACAAGTCGGCTGCGTTGGTCAAGAGCTCCCAGCAGTCCTTCTTTGAGCTCCTCAGCTTCTGTATGGAGGACCCCAGTGACGAAGTTCGACAATCTGCCTATGCACTGTTGGGAGATTGCGCTAGATACGTCTATCCTCTACTACAGCCCTACCTTGGTACAATTATCCCCATCTTGCTGAAGCAGCTTGATATGGACAGCGTCCTCGATGAGGATATGGACAGTGGGTTTGGTGTCGTTAACAATGCTTGCTGGTCAGTTGGTGAAATCTCAATGCAACACAAGGAGCACATGGGTCCATGGGTTCGAGAGCTTCTGCAGCGCTTTGTTGAAATCATGACCAACCCTCGTGTCCCTAAAGCACTGAACGAAAATGCTGCCATGGCTTTGGGACGCCTCGGCCTCGAGAACTCGGAACAGCTTGGACCCCATCTTTCAACTTTTGCAGAGGAATGGATCAGCATCATGAACGAGGTGGATGCAACTGAAGAGAAGGCGACAGCTTTCAAGGGGTTTTCCATGATCGTTGGACGAAACCCCCAGGCCATGGAGAAGGAGTTACTCAACTATTTCACGGCCATTGCCCGTTATCGTGACATTGACTTGAAGAGCCCAGTTAGGCAGGAGTTGCATGATGTCTTCCAGAAGGTCAGTGCCTATTGCATTGCAGTTGTTTTTTTGTTTGGTTTTGTTTTTCC